ATGGACTCCATATAGGTACCAAATACGCCAGCTGGATGTTTTCCATAAATGCTGTCTTCGTGCCATCTGTGAAGTTAACCTTCAAGATAAGATATCTGACGTAGACTTGTTCAACAGGTGTAATATTGGAGGAATAGAGACTTTTCTCATACAGTCTCAGTTACGGTGGACTGGTCATATCTTGAGAATGTCTGGTGACAGGATACCCAAGATCCTAATGTTAGATCAGGGTTACAGGAATGTAGGACGCCCATGGCTAAGATACAAAGACAAACTGAAGACAACTTGTCAGCAGTCAATATACCACATAACACCTTCGAGCGCTTAGGCTTGAAGCGGATAGAATCGAAATCAACGTGTTTTAGTAGACTCAGCAGTTTTCAATCAGCTTGTCTGAATCGTCTTCAAGAAGCGAGAGCAAGATCTAAAAGGTCAGCCAATGTAACATTGATCTCAACCCACAATCCTCTATTTTGCTCCATATGCGGCCTCCTTTGTAAATCACGAGCGGCCACTTAAGATTATCGCACAAAATTCATAACTGAATCAATTGGTTGAGTTGTTAGATCCCCATACGTCGAAAACAACGAGAGAGTCCATTACACACACACACACACATATATATATATACATATATATGGGCCGAGTGATTAGAACGTTCGCATTCTGGCCACGAGACCCGGATTCAAATATCAACATGGTCGATTTGTCGGACTGATGTTATCGGACTTTGGAAAGTGCCTGAAAACCATCACCGCAGGTTAACCCAAGTCTTGTGAGTGAAATTAGGTAGACGGAACCCTTGGGAGCCGTCGATAGCTGCGATGGCACAAAGTCACAAGTCATTGTGGCCGAGGGCTTGAGCGTGCTGGCCTTGTTCAAATTGTTGATCAGGCTAGATAACACGCTATTTCCCAGAAACTGTAACTAAGGTCTGCTCAGCATAGTTGCAGTATAAACTACAGGTGGGTTCTGTGGGTGTTGAATAAACACAAATGCGCCTGAGCAAGAGTCTGCAATAGGGATTGGCTAGCCGCCTTAATAGACATGTATCCTCGAATACTAATAATAGTATAATTAATATTATATGTAATATAATACATATAATATACATACATATAATATTAATATATATGAGGACCGATATTACATAACAGTTTATTGAATGTAATTTGTTTACATTAAAGCTTATTATTATTATTATTATTATTATTATTATTATCTATCAATACTGTTTGCATTTTTATATACTTTTCTTCAAAAACCCACAAGTGGGCGACTCACTTTTTGATCGCAATGCATTAATACGAAGAGAAAAATATAGCCAACAGTTTCCGACATATTTCCAGATTTAGGACCACTGTAAAATAACATGTGTAAAGAATTATATCAGCCTCAAAAATGTTGATTAAAAAACGGAAATAATTTTGATACACCCTAATATAATGGTTTTATTATTTTCGTCCTATCTTTTCTTTTCTTTTGATCTCTCTAAACACAGTCTTCCGTGTATATTTGATAGTTTTGGTATCGTCTTTGACTAACGAAGACTGCCAAACATGAACTAATGAAAAAGAAAAAAAAAAACAATTTTAAAGTATGTCTTCCCTGCAGTGAAAGCGCGAAGAATTACAATTTCAAACTGGTCTCCTGTGTATCCAGTTTTCAGCGAATATTTGTGCACGGTCGGTAATCCTTGAGAGAGAACTATTTCGAAAATATAACGGTATCTTGACTTCCGTAACAATGGCGCCGTACTTACGCTTTCTTTTAACAAAGGCGCTTTTTTTTTCTTTCTTTTAATTTATCGAGTGTTTGTTTTGATTAGCTGGGGACCGCCCTAATATGATTTATTTGAAATACGTCTGTGGATACATTTAAGCTGCATTTCAGATGCTCAAGAGCCAGAAAATTTAGAGACTATTTAAAATATTTACATACATGTCCGACCGTGACAGTTTAATAAAAAAAAGAAAGAAGCATGATTCCTTATCGTTGTCGAAGTTTTATTTTTAAATGCCACATCTCTTCATAACGTAGTTGATCATATCTCTCTCAGTTTACCAACCTCTAAAAGGTAAGATGTGGCACAAGGCCAGTTTTTAACGTGAGGCTTTCCAAGCCCTAAGACTTCGGCAAAAATTGCCCGTAAACCCCGTATACACGGGGGTCGGGTTTGTCTCTCTCCTCAAACGACCCAAGACCTGCCAAGAAGGCGAGATGTGGCACAAGGCAGTTTTTTTTTTAACGTGGGGGATTCCGAGCCTGTAGGATCGGACAAAAATTACCCGTAAACCGCGTAATAACGGAATCGGGTTTATCTACCTCCCCAGACGAGACTCTGCCCTTCGGCATAGCCTAATCTGATTTCCTCTGCGCCCGAAGGCAGAGAGTTCGACAAGAGAGGAAGAGACTCCTCTCTCTCAACAGATACCAATTCTTTTATTTAATTTTTTTATCTGTGAATCGTCGCAAGGTATTAGAATGACCTCTGTTGTTTCCTCCATATCTCTGAATTTATGGCTAGTGTATTGGGCATTGAATATTTGTGTACCAGCCTCTGTGTCTGAGAGAGTTTTTCTCTCATTTAATAAGTAATAGCTGTCCGATCGTACCCTTTTATGTCTGTTGGGGGCGGCTAGCGAATCTCTGTTGCCGACGCCTTCTCAGACGCATTTGTGTTTGCTCAACACCTGTAGAGCCCGCATCGGGTTTATACCAGTAACATTCTCTTTACCTGAGGAGCTGGGTTTATTCCCTGGTGCGTTGAGCCGTCCACATAAGGTGAATCGCCGAAGGGGGCTTGGACAGTTTTTATGCGCTATCGCTGTTAAACCCACTTTAAACTGACCTTATGTTACATTAGGATTCAACGTGGGCACGGCGAAAAATACATCAGTGGTTTATACTGCAACTATGCTCAGAGGATCGTAGTTACAATTCCAGGGAAAGTGCGCATTATCTGGCATTAACAGTCTGAACACGGCCAGTACAGTCAAACCTTCGGTCACGATGACTTGCGATTTTGGGTTAGCTCAATCATCGAAGGCTCCCAAATGATTCTGTCTACCGAACTTTACACACAATGCTTGAGTAAATCCATGATATGGTTTTCAGGTACTTTCTAATGGTACCACACCCTCGGAACGCCCCACTCCCAGATCGATAACATCAAGAAGTCACCTTCCTGAAAAATTGACCATCTCTCTCAACAATAATAACAACAGCAACGAATTCGTACGCAGAATCGGCGAGTCAAGTTCAGATTCTCACTTAGTCTGCTGCGTTCAATTCACATTATAGGTTTTGGGAAAGGCATGAATCTAAATATCCCTGCAGATATTTGGTGACAAGTTTCTCTCTCATTCAGTAATAATTATTCATTATTATGACTAGTTTTAAATCGTGAAAATTTCTCGGTTTTTCTTATTTTAATATTCTGATGAATCCTAATTCTTACGTTACTGATCGAGTAAGATCATGGCGAATTCTACGACAATAAAATATCCGTAGAAATCTCCCAATAGCATCGTTAAATATTTGAGATTAACAACTTTAACAAAATATTTAACAACGATAAACAAGTGAAGCTTCCGCGCCGCGTGACTACTCGAGGCAAACGTCTGTAAACAAAGCAAGCAATGGCGGACGTTCTGTGTACGCGGCGAGAAAAAAGTCGAACTTACATTGTCCATAACTTCTAAACGGCAATCGAGCGCAATGTTTTAATGTCATTTTTTCACATCAGAATGGTACATTCTCAATGCAGGGTGCTTTTGGTGCTTATGCTGCAAATTTACCCGTTTTTTTATTTTAGCCTCTGATTTTGCGGAAGTAGTCCATAAAGTACAATGACATTCAGCAGACACATTTAATTATATAAAAAAAATTAAAATAAAAAGAAAAGAAGAAAATAAATTATTCCAAAATTCGCTAGAAGATGAAACAGAACTAATGCTTTTAATTTAATTATATAATTAAATTTGAAGTTTTTAGCTTCAGTTTTTGAAACATGGTTATTACTGTGTAGCGAAAAAACATATATTAATTCAGTTAATTTATAATATCTATGCTTTTAAATTTACATTGAGCACTGTTTTGTAAAAATAAAAATATCAATAAGAACATCGGATTATATATCTTACTGTTCTTTTTTTTATATATATATATATATATATATATATATATATATATATATATATATATATTTGTTGATAAAATGTATTGTTGTTAATGCTTGAAAATGATTAAAGAAGTGGCCTAAAGCGTTTGGGACAATGGATAATATGACCAATTTTTGTAGTCCTTTATATCCGACATTCGAAAAACTTTAAGATCACTGAAAAAAATTAAATAAAGAATTTATTAGTTTTTCATTGTCATATCTAACGATTAAATGGTTTAAGGAAAAATGTTTATAAAAAAAGGTTGCTGCCTAAATATACACTACTATATATATATATATATGAAGAAAAATATATGGAAAAACAAAAATACGAATATGCAAATATGCTGTTTTAATGTTGTTTCAATGTCGACGTCAGATGTTTCGGTCTAGTAAACCTTCTTCAGGACATCGTATTGTGAAACGGAACGCTGATCTTAAAAATTTCAGTTATTCTGTTATGATTAGTCTTACTCTTATGTCTATCGTCTTTTCATGTTGACTTGAATATCGTCTAATGTTATTATGTTTTAATAACTATGTCCTGAAGAAGGTCTACTAGACCGAAACGTCTGACGTCGACATTGAAATAAGATTAAAACAGCATATTTGCATATTCGGATTTTTGCTTTTCCATATATTTTTCTTCATACTGTCGGATCTATATCCATCTATTTGCTTACACACACACACACAAACACACACACACACACATACACACACACACACACACATATATATATATATATATATATATATATATTGTGAAGTGATCCAAATATATAAATAATGGAAATTGCATGAATACAGTTCTGTGGAATTCAGGTGACATCATGTTAAAACACCGGTTCTCGTACGATCCCCGAAGTTAAGCAACGTCGAACCGTGTCAGTACCTAGATCGTTGACCACCTGGGCGCACCAGGTAACCTTGGGTATGTGTGCGGTGTAATAGATAACACCTCGTGTGGGGAAATCGGAGAGCCGTGTTTCAATTTCAGTCGAATTCGTTATATCAACTGACGCGCAAATAACCTTGCGAAAGGTATGACTCCAAATATTCTCACTCCAGCTATGGCTTAATTAGTATAACTTGTATTAGTAAATCATTATTATATCCAAAAGCTTCGAACAGTTTTAAAATAGCTTCTGGCTTTAAATAACCTGAAATGGGTCGGTAAACTGTAAAAATAAATCAGTCAATTTATTCAGCTCTGTGTTAGATAGCAGGGTAGGTTTTGGTTCTTTTACGTTGAGATTGAGGAATTGGATACCGAGTTCGAATTCCAGCCGAATCCATTATATTCAGTTACGTGCTAATACCCTCGGGAAAGGTATGAATCCTCTTCTTCTCCCTCGGATATGGGTAAATAGCAGGACAGGCCGAGTTCTATAGCATTGGATGGCAACTGGTCTACCGCAGAAAGAAATGGCGGGAAAAAGAATTTGTCTCGTTAGTCATGCATTCAAATTTCTATTAATCAATTCCAGTCGCATTTTAATCGCGTGTTATTAATTATTATTATATGTGCGGTGTCCCTCAAAGACGTTGACGATCATGGCTCTCCACAATTTCCCGTCCTTTGTAGCTCTTAATAATTTTTGTTATCTCCCCTAAGCCTTTTTTCTGCGACCCATTTCTTCAAGCTCATTCTTCTTCTTCTATGTGTCATGTTCCTTCAGAAGGTGAGCAATCACGGCTCTCCACAACTTCCCGTCCTTTGTAGCTCTTAATAATTTTTAATTTTTTTGTAATCTCTCCTAAGCCTTGTTCTGCCATCCATTTCCTCAAGCTCATTCATCTTCTATGTACTATGTCTCTTAGAAAGTGGGCGATCATGGCTCTCCACAATTTCCCTTCCTTTAAAGCTCTTAATAATTTTTATTTTCATTTTTTTTTGTTATTCAACCTGAATATTGTACCGACATCCATTTACTAAAACCAGCTAAGTAGGTTTAACGTTGTATTTGTCTGTCTCTCTTACCTTCGACCTGTCCTAGGAGTGTCAAATTTTCCAAGCCCTCTTCCCTCATTATGTGCACTATATATCTTAACTGTTTCTTTCTGATGTTAAGTATGTGTACTTTTTGTTTCCATTTTCTTTCAAAATTCGTCGTTGCTCACATGTTCTATCCATGGTATTCTCAGCATCCTTCTGTAGAACCAGATTTCTGTTACTTTCCTTATCACGTGCCCTAATGCCACCTTGTCTTTTCTAAACATTTGGTTTTAAGTGTTCGACTTGTACATGTGTGGATACAGTTTATTACTGATCTATGTCTATCTTTTGTCGTTTGTCAAGAGAGATGGTCGTAAAACTGTTTTTCAAAGATTTTATGGATGTTTAGACAGACAGCTAGCGGGTCGCAGAGAGTTCCTTATCTCGTTTGAAATGCGAGGCGTTTTATTTTTAAATGTATTATGATGAGAACGGAGCGGGCTCATTGAGGGACTGTTTGATGATAATATCAGACAGAGTCTAGAAAAAAAATGGTACCCTAGAGAGTAAAGAATTTTGAGAAGATTCGCATTATAGAACAGTTTCCAAACAGAAACGCATTCTCTCTCTCTCTCTCTCCAGACACACACATATCTATCTATCTATCTATCTATCTATATATATATATATATATATATATATATATATATAGAGAGAAGAGAGAGAGAGAGATGTAGATATATAATATAAAAGGCTCAAACAGTAATATTCCATGTGTTTGAGCCTTTTATATTATATTCTTGCTCTGCGAGTTCTTAATCCGGATGCCCGTTCATTGCGAGTTCTTAATCCGGATGCCCGTTCATTGCGAGTTCTTAATCCGGATGCCCGTAAGAGCCAGCTGGTTAATACTTCCGGGTCAGCGATCACTGAACATTTGATAAATTGCAGGGATTGTGCGAAGAACTTCAGTCCGAATTGGTTTACTGTACTGTCCAGTTCGCACTCTCCATTTCATTTGAGGGCACTTGAGTCTCTGTATATTCGGTCCAGGGAGCCGTCTCTTTGCAAGCAAAAAGACTGTCTCCTTGGGCATCATGTTATTAGACTCTAGTGTGTATCATACATTCCCCTCATACTCCCCCCTTTCTTTCCCCATTTCTGTGCAAATTCGCGCGGGTTTGATTTTTTTTCCTCATACCATAATTCATTTCATTTTTTAATGTTTTAATTGTATGTAGGGTGTTTGTGTGAGTCAATATATATTGCAATAATTGTTAAATTGTTCCCAGTCGAACCTGATGAGCTTGGGAACGAAACCGGTTGGTCTGTTCTGTAAGTGTTATCATCTCTTATTTTTTATTTTTCATAATGCCTTTAGGAAATAATCTGTATCTATTCCTTGCAATATATATATATATATATAACTATGAACCTAAAGACCCCGGTAAACCTACCTAGGTTTCAACTAGGTGGATCGTCAGGGTGTGATCCGCGTAGGGGAAACCCAGGTAGGTTTACGTGGCTTTTTAGGTTCATAGTTAGATTTGCGCTACTTAGTGTATTGAGCACTTTGCTTAGTTATTTTTGCTTTACTCGTTATGGAGGGATTTTTTTTTCTTTGGACTCTGAGCTTGGATTCTGGACGATTGTTTTCATCTCAATTAAATGTTCTTAGTTCTTTCTTTTTTTTACCTTTTTTTACCCTTGAGTATTGGTTTGTTCATTTACAAGCCAAAACAACTTAGGTTTTTCCAGACGAGTATAATTACTTCTATTTATATTCATCATTAGTATCAGTATTATATATATATATATATATATATATATATATATATATATATATATATATATATATATATATATATATATATTGGCTATTTTTTCATTCAGTCATGTTTAGTTAAATAATATGCAAAAAGCTAAAATTATGGAAGTCATTTATATAAGAGAATTGTGCCTCAAAATAAATAAAGTCAAGTACAAGTATAACAAAAAAGTTCTTTAACGTTTGTCGCAGGAAAGTGTTATATAGAAAAAAAATACAAGATTAAAATTACTACAATTTGAAAATAGTTTTTTGAAAAATTCACATAAGTTAACTCCCTTCCATAAAGGTAAAAAAAAAAAACAATATTTTGAATTGACGGGGCTAATGCATAAAACATCCATGGATATGCAGCATCTGAAGATGGTCTTAGAGGGGAATGAAAGAAAATATTGGAATTTCACTTAATCAAAATTCTACAACAACTAAGAAATTAATTCCTCGACTTGAAAGGATTAAAACATAAATAATTTAATAATACAACTAAATTATTTAACCAAACACGCACATACACACACAGAGACAACTCAAACGCATACACACACACATATTGATGCATGTTTCATTAAATAATATAGACAAGCTTTGCCTATTTATTTTAAGTAAGTTCTTTTCATATTGTCTGATAAGCTTAATCACATTATCATTGAAGGACGAAAGGAAATCACCATATTGATACATGTTTAAATCCTGTCTAAGCTTTCAGCTTACATAAGCCATTATCAAAGATGACAATTACATTTAAATATATCAAACAATAGACGGACGAAACAATAATGATGGTCTGTTTTTGTTACATGAAAAATTTCAATCCACGACATTGGTATATTGAACAAATATATAAAAATCCAAAAGGATAAATTTTGTATCAATTTTTCGACTGCTGTCAAAGATAAATTTCTACTTCTGACTCGAATACAGTCTATACACTGGGGTTGAATAAGAATGACGTACTTCGCGTTGGCTGAAATAGGTCTATCCCACTATGAGGTAATTTGGGATTTTTCCTCCAATATATATATATATATATATATATATATATATATATATATATATATATATATATATATATATTTAGTGGTAAATATACACATACATATGCAAAATATATATATCCTCCCTCTTATTCTGACATTAAATCGTCTATGGTGTGTGTATGTCACCACGAAATGTATCTTTATGCTATAGACATCCGACAACATTCATATTTCTCTTACTTAAACCCCTTCCACTCACCTCTCCTAAAATTCTCTCAATTTAGGTTTAATCTCCCTCCTTCTCTAGACTCTCTCTAAATTCTGTTTTTATTTCCGGAGTTGTTTTTTCTGTTTTCTTTTTGAATTTGTAGGTCTGATGAATTGGATCGTATTTACGATTCCAATGGAATAAATTATGACCATGGAATATTAGTGTTTAAGCCTTTTTATTATATATATATATATATATATATATATATATATATATATATATATATATACCGATCAGGTCATTTTTGTCTGTAGCCTTTATGTAAACGTCAATATTGAATTCGTTATTATGCTATTCAACATAATATCTAGGAAGGAAAGAGTGTAGTTGGTTTCAGTTTCAAAAGTGAAGTTTATTGTAGTTTTAACGTTGTTAAGTTGGTTGAGATCATCCTTTAAATTAGTATTTTGTGGATATATTAATAGTAAGTCATCTATGTATCTGAATTAGGAAGAGTTTGGAGGGGGAGAATGTTTTTCAATGGGTCACTTTCTAGAAACTCTAAAAATAGACACGCAAGAACGTCGCTGAGAGGAGATCCCATTGGTAAACCAAATGTTTCTCTGTAAAGATGGTTATCAAATGTAAAGAAACATTGCTTGGTGATCAGTTTCTACTAAAACCACTCTTCTAAAATTAAATCTTGAAATACATAAATAAAACGGATAAATATAACGACCAAATATAAGCAGACGTGTACGCGTGTGCTGGTGTGCATACGCAGGCAAGCAAATAAGAAAACGTTAAATTTGTTCATAAGGTGTAAACGTAATGGTGCTTAATGCGGTTAAACAGAGCAAAGATATGTATTAATTAGTACATATACGCACACCTACGTTTTTGGCGTGCGACTATAGTTTCGATGGGTGGTGTTCCCAGTTCGTCAGGCATGGGATCACTTGCCTGACGAA